ATCAACCTCTGTTAGCTGTTTTATTATTATTATTGCTCCCTTGGGTTCCTAGTGGAACATAGGGCTTCAACTGCACGTCTCAACTTGCTTCTGTCTTCTGCTGTATTTTTCACTTGCATCCATGTTAGTACATACTGTTTCAACTCCTCTTCACACGATCTCCTACATGTCACCCTTGGACGTCCCACTCGCCGCTTTCCTTTCGGGTTCCACTCCAGCTATGGCCTGACGCGCGATGTCATCCAATGGCCTCCTCAGCGAGTGTCCAATCCATCTCCACTTTCTCCTGCATATTTGTTGAGCGATTGGTTCTTGTTTTGTTTCTTCCCATAGTTTCTTGTTGGTTCTTGTTCTTTCCAGCCATCTGATTTTCAGTATAGAAAGAAGACAGTTGTTGATAAAGGTCTGCAACAGGCTGTTGGAAATATTCTTTGTGACCCGCCGAGTTTCTGATCCGTATAGCAAAACTGACTTCACGTTTGAATTGAAAATCTGAATTTTGTTGTTGATGCAGGCTAAGTGAAGAAGATTTCCAGATTAGTTTCAGGTTGATGAATGTGTTTCTCGCCTTCCCGTCTGTTAGCTGTGGTCGGATCAAAATTGAGCATTGTAGTCCACTCTGCGACCCCCTGTTACAACTATTGACCCTAATGTTACTAGGGTATGATTTTGGAATCTAGGAGTTCGGCCAAGTAGGTGCACTTTCTTGTCTAAGAAATGGTTACCCTACATCGAATGAAGACGTAGCTATAATAACTGTTTCATTGATTTTATCCTTTTTAAGTCAGGCTGATTATTACATATTGGTATTATGTAGCAGTTGACATACTGAGGAATACATAACCTCTCTCTCTTCTCTCTCTCCTCTTGTATGTTCTCTCTTTCAACCCGTGATCACCTACTGTTATCTTTATTAGAAGTAGGCTCTTAGTTCAGCGGTATAAATAAACCGGCATACAATAATTCAGGGATCATTCAAGTGTTGGTTTGTAGGGATTTGATTGATTGGTTACAGGATTTCATCATGAGCTGACATTGGTTAGAGAACCATTGGAAAACCTGCAGGGAGTACTGGACAGCTGTTTCGTCAGCCTAGTTTGGAACTCTTCTCAGGGTCTTCTGGTTACAAGGTGATCTAGTAGACCATTAAGCCGCTGGGACCCGATCAAATGGTCAGCCTGTGAATACCAACTTCTGCCAATTCACGACACGGCGTGACCACTGGCCAATGTTTTCTTCGAGTATTTGTCCTCATACCCAACCAATCAAATCCCTACAAACCAACACTTAAATATCGATGAGATGCTCACAAGTGACTTGCCCTATTCAAGTAGGTAGTTACCTGGGGTTCTAGTGAGAAGTCGTGACCAGTAGGGTGCAGCGGGTGGTGGGTGTGAGGACAAATACTCGCCGAAGACATTGTCTAGTGGTCGCGCTATTTCGTGAATTGACAGAAGTTAGAATTCATGGACTGGCCATTGGATCGGTCTCACTGGCTGCTTAATGGTCTACGAGCTAGCTCGCCTTGTAACCAGAAGGTCCTGTGTTCGAACCCCTTGTGTTGCGTGTGTGCGTGCTGAGAAGAGTCCCAAACTAGGCCGATGAAACAGCTGTCCAGTACTCCCTGCAGGTTTTCCAATGGTTCTCTACCCGATATCAGCTCATGATGAAATTCAGGGATCACTTTAGATTTTTGAAAGACATACTGATTTTATTGTTGACTAATTTTGGTGTTATCGTGTTTACTGATTGGGATAGTTTCATTATACCTCTTGACGGTACATTTTTCATGAATGTGAAGTATTCATCTCTTCTAGTGACTGTCAGTTACAGTGTGCTGATGGATCACTTTCTGAAAGTGCACTTCGCACTTAAAATTAACACTGAAAATACTGTCTAGAAGAATAATGAAACCCCCGCTACTAAATGACCCTAAAGCCACATTCACTTAAGCTATAAACCGTCTACGCTACTTCAGAAATACTTACTAGTTTAATCCCTTAATTAATAGGTTTGATACCCTGAAGTTATTTGGGTTGATGGTGATTAGCAGTGTGATCTAAGATGCACACTTTCGTCCCGGTTTGGAACTCGTCACCTAGATCTGCCTGCATTCCCAGTGAGTGACAGTGTTCCCACCGAGACTCGAACTCTGGACTAATCGTTTCAAACGCCATTAACACAAATAACTTCACGTCAGTGCTTAGTGATCAACGAAGCGTTCGTGCTATGGTCTGATATGTTAACAGAGATTTTAGCTTTTCGGTTCAAGATAAAAACTAATCAAAGGGGAAATACAAATTGTCCTTAAAGCAATTTGTACCATTTAGGCTATAAAAATAGAAACTTTCTTAAGCCTAATTATTGTTCAAATCATGTTAGTTGTTTTTTTTAAAGTTTCCTGTTACTTGTATTATTATTATTGTTAAATGTTTTCCACTTGAAACAGTCCATTAGATTTAATAATTAATCATAATCATAATCATTGAGGGTATTTACCTAAAAGTATTATGTATTATGAGTAATTATCTCTTGTCCCTCTTCCTGTAACTCTTGGTTTTTTTATGTCTCTCTGCTCATCCGTTTGTCTGTTTGTCTATCGACCTTTAATTGATTATTTGGTGGAGTACACAGTTCGATACAGAATACTGCCACTGCTCCCCTTGGAAATCTAAGTAACTCAGTATACGAATGGAATTTCGATGCTGTGATTGAAAAAAATGTATAAGTTATACAAGTCATCAGGCATGTACCTTGTGCATCGGGGAGAAAATAACGTAGTACTCGTCAATCAACTACTCATATGGTCGGCGTTCTACCTCAGGCTGCTAGAGTCACTCCGAAATCTTACTTAACCGGTAGAAAGCGTGGATAAGAGGGGATGTTAAAATGTGAGGCTTGTTACTCCAATCGTGAAAGAATCACCGCCACTGCTATTGAAACTTCAAACCTCAAGCTTTAAGTCCTACGTTCTACTTGGAAGGCAAAGGAGTGGGAGAAAAAATTCTCCACTGACTTATCTCAGAAAGATCCTTCAGTTTAAATCACTGAATGACTAATGCAGTTCCAAGCTACTGATATCAGTTAGTAGTATATATTAAATATATTAATATTATTTCCTTTAATTCCTAGAGGAACATAGGGCTTCAGCCGTGCGTCTCCATTGCGTTCGGTTCTCTGCTAGAGTCTTCACCTGGCTCCAAGTCTGCCCACACGCTTTCATCTCCTCTTCACATGACCTCCTCCAAGTCACCCTTGCACTGACGACCAACTCGCCGCTTCCCTTTCGGGTTCCACTCGAGCAATGGCTTGTCTAGTGATGTCACTTGATGGTTTCCTCAGAGTATGGCCAATCCATCTCCATTTCTTCCTGCCTATTTGTTTCACAATCGGTTCCTGCTAGGTTGGTTCGCTCATTGCCAGAGATCCCTGTTGCTGATCTTTTCTGGCCAGCCATCTGATCTTGAGTATTATTGAGCGAAGACAGCTGTTAATGAAGGTCTGTAGTTTGTTTGAGATGCTCTTTATGACGCGCGCAAGTCTCTGATCCGTATAGTAGCACTGACTGACTTCACATTGGAGTTGAAAATCCGGATCTTATTTTTGATGGTGAGTGTTGTTGACCTCCACACAGACTTGAGAGTAATGAAAGCTTGTCTTGCTTTCCCGATTCTTGCTTTGATATCCTCGTCAGTTCTGCCTGTAGTTGAAACGATGCTTCCCAGGTAGGTGGGTAAAGGAGGTTGTTTCTTTCAGGTTCCTCCCATTTATGCTGATTGTTGTCTGTTGTTGTTGTTGGCCAGGAATATAACACTATTTTGAAAATGTTAACCTATCTAATGTATTAGACTATTAAAAGTTAATCATCCTAGTATACTATATTCTCAAAGTTTCTCTTATCATGTGACACCTGATAAATGACTTACATCTACAGCGGTGTCACGTGGAAGCATTTTTAGCCGGCATTTATGTATGTATGTGAAATTTTTCCAGGTAAAAAAGATGAAATAGAACCATCAAAATATTGAAGTTCTTTGAACGCCCGCGATAATTATGAGCAGCCAAATTGTGGACGAAACATCAACCAGTTATGAACAGTGTACAACTGTTAAGTGGTTGGAAGCAGTCAGAAGGAAGTTCCGAATGTTTCGTATGTTTTATGCTTACTGTTTCAGAAAGCTAAACGGGAATTAGATGAACTGACTAGAGTTATTCAGATGTTTGACTCATAGTGAATTGGATTACTTTTACGAGTTGATTTTGTCATGAACTGACACAAGCTTGGGGAATGATAGGAAATCAAAAAGTACTGAACTACTGTTTTGTTCCAGTTACAAAATATTCCCCAAAAGACATAACCGTGATCCTGTTGCCATCTAAAATCAAATATAGTCCTCTTGAAAAGTGAGCATATCTTTACAATTATTTAACTGAATTTCAGATTTTCCCCCGTCGATTGATTGGACCGAAGTGCTCAGTCTCAGGTTGACATGTTGGCTTCTTGTGCAGATGCTTCGACGATGTCTGGGCATGTAATCAGAATTTGATTGGTGGATGGTGACTAGTAGTGGAATCCAGGGTTGGAGCCTCGGTGGGAACATCATCACTCACTGAGGAATGCAGGCATATCCAGATGACGAGTCCCAAATAGGACGAAATGCGCGTTATCCTGGATTCCACTGCTAGTCATCATCCACCAGTTAACTTCTAATATCTATACAATGTTGTAAAAACTATTTTCGAATCATTCACTTAGACACTAGTCTAAGGAACAACTTAATGTTCTAGCTGTACTAGTTGATGTGAGCTGTATCTCTATACTTATATCAATTAGTCAGTAGTATATATGGCACGATAAGAATATACTTACATGTTATCTACTTATGAGTAGCTGAAATACGTATGCTACATTTTCATATGATCAGTTTTCTTCATATATATGTCAACTCACTCTGAGTACAATCCATCCTAATTTTTTTCATTTATTTCTTTTGTTAAAGGGGAATGGGAAGATACCAAAACAGAAGCAACCAAAAATTCTGAAAAAAAAGAAAGTGACTACTGAAACTGTTACTGTCACAACAAAAGTAGTTGATGGTAAGTAGTTTCTTTAAATCTCTCTTATTTCCCCCCCCCCCCCGCATACTATTGATTAACTGAGATGAATAGTTGAACTCTAACTCATATCAACCAGCAGTGCTGGCCAACTAGCCAAATAAATATAATCTAAACGCCTGACGGCTATTCGGCTCGTTAGACTTCAAGTTCATCATAGGTGTAGGCGGTTTGAGTCAGCTCAGAGAGTCAATTCAATGTTCAGGCCACTTGAATTCTGGTTCAGTTTTCTATTTTCATTTAGAGTTGAGGATTTTCTTTGTTTAGAAATCTTTTTACTATCATTCATATGGTCAAAGTATTCTGAAATGTAGAAAAATTACGTTCTCATATGTCTTGTTTCGGGTGGATTACTCTCCTTTTGGAAAATAAGATTTTGTAGCCACGGACAATTATGACTAGACAGAAAAGATAATAATATACGTATAATATACTTGAATATCGATGAGATGCTCACTGGCGACTGGCCCTATTCAGGTAGGTAATTAGTTACCTGGGGTTCTAGTGGGAAGTCGTGACCAGTAGGGTGCAGCAGGTGGTCGGGTGTGAGGACAAATACTCGCCGAAGACATTGGCTAGTGGTTGCGCTATGTCGTGAATTGGCAGAAGTTAGAATTCATGGACTGGCCATTGGATCGGTCCCAGTGGCTGCTTAATGGTCTACGGGCTCACTAGCCTTGTAACCAGAGGGTCCTGTGTTCGAACCCCTTGTGTTGCGTGTGTGCGTTCTGATAAGAGTCCCAAACTAGGCTGATGAAACAGCTGTCCAGTACTCCCTGCAGGTATTCCAATGGTTCTCTACCCGATACCAGCTCATTATGAAATCTTGTAACCAAAGAAAATAATTGTTTTGTTGGTGTTTCTCATTACTAATTATTGCGTAACCTGAGTTCATATAGTTACCCAAGCCCTGCTAAGCGATTGTAGTGTGACCATTTTCGTATTCCTTTAGAGTTCCACTGGTATTTAATATTTATTTAAATAAATTATGAATTAAAAGTCAATCTGAACGAAGAATATTCTTTTCAATAATTTCTCCTCTTCAGGTTCTTACAATTATAAAATATAATATTTGTTGTGGTTATGCGGGGGATACATTTTTTACGTAGAATAACAGATTAGTTATGGGGTGTCAAAATGTAAATAGTATTTGTGTGACAAACGTGCTAGGCTGAAATCGATTACAAAGTATTGTGAAATGGGAGACAATAGTGGTGATTAGTCATAATAGATTCGTAGAGTGTGGGGTAGGAAAATTGACAAGTCAGTTCAAGGTTATGAAAGGTATCAGGTGGGTGAGTGGCTAGTACAAAGTGGTATGTATTAAACAGGAGATAGTAAGACTGCAATGAGAGGTTCATAATGAAATAACGAATATGTGAAATGAAACAGGTGGAGGAAGGCATATATTGAGAAAAGAGATAATATCACTAATAATAAGTCCGGATAGTATAAATGGAAAATTCGATAGTATTGAGAGAATGTTTGCATGAGGGGCATAAATTATCACGAATAATAATAATAATAGTATTATTATTATTCGTGATAATTTATGCCCCTCATGCAAACATTCTCTCAATACTATCGAATTTTCCATTTATACTATCCGGACTTATTATTAGTGATATTATCTCTTTTCTCAATATATGCCTTCCTCCACCTGTTTCATTTCACATATCGTTATTTCATTATGAACCCTGTTCTCATTGCAGTCTTACCATCTCCTGTAGATCATCGAGTTTCTATGACATTAGACATAAATCATCCTCGAAGTTCAGATCTTGCCGTGTCTTTTAGTTGCTCCAGCATATGCCCATCTTCTTGCTCCCCACGGTCTGTCACACGATCCAGTTCACCACAATCAGGAATATCATCGGTGATAGTAAGCATCCTTGCCTTACTCCTGTGTTTACTTCAAAAGCCTAGATGGGACTTCCTTTGTGAATCACTTGGTTTGTGGTATCTTCAAGAACCTACCGAAATTCCTCGTTGTTGAAGCAGTTTCCAAATAACTTCACATTCAGTGCTATTGGGATTTTCAAACTAAAGGGTTTACTGCCATTCTAGGGACGTAGCGTTACAATTCGCTTCGCGCATGACTTCTTTCCTGATCCAGTTTGTTGCAAGCAGAGTTTTGAATCCAAAACATCTTTTAATCTTTGCTGCAGGATGATGCGGTTTATTATTCTGCTTGAAGTAGACAGCAACATTATTGAATACCAGCCTTCGGATAGAATTAATTCACCCTTTTTGACATTTTGACAAGGGATCATCTCTTCAAAAATCTCTGTTCACTGATTATTATTATTATTGTTATTATTATTATTGTATCCTTTAATTCCTAGAGGAACATAGGGCTTCAGCCGTGCGTCTCCATTGCCTTCGGTTCTCTGCTAGAGTCTTCACCTGGCTCCAAGTCTGCCCACACGCTTTCATCTCCTCTTCACATCACCTCCTCCTCCATATCACCCTCGCACTGATGACCAACTCGCCGCTTCCCTTTCAAGTTCCACTAGAGCTTTGGCTTGTCTAGTGATGTCACTTGATGGTTTCCTCAGAGTATGGCTAATCCATCTCCACTTCTTCCTGCTTGTTTGTTGCACGATCAGTTCCTGCTGGGTTAGTTCTCTCCGAAAGATCCCTGTTGCCGATCTTTTCTGACCATCTAATCTTGAGTATTATTGAGCAAAGACGACTGTTGATATAGGTCAGTAGATTGTTCGAATTGCCCTTCGTGAGGCGCCAAGTCTCTGATCCATATAGTAAGTAGCACTGACTGAATTCACATTGGAGTTGAAAATCCGGATCTTATTTTTGATGCAGAGTGCTGTTGACCACCACACAGACTTCAGAGAAATGAAAGCTTGTCTTGCTTTTCCGATTCTTGCTTTGATATCCTCGTCAGTTCCGCCTGTATTTGAAACGATGCTTCCCAGGTAGGTAAAAGAGGTTGTTTCTTTCAGATTCCTCCCATTTATGCTGATTGTTGTCTGTTGTTGTTGTTGCTGTTGGTGGTGTTTCCCAGGAATCTTCATCACCTCTGTCTTCTCTATGTTGACCTGAAGTCCTATCTTTGATGCTTCTTCTGCCAACTTGTTGCTTTTCGCTTTCTGTTCACTGATAGTTTCATTTATGTTTGAACAAGACGAAGGTGGTGAACAATACGGAAGTTATTTGGAGTGTTCAACCCTGTGTTTCTTTTGTTTCACCTCTTTGGTAATTAGGTTTCTTCCACTATTTTTCTCTGGCTTCATCAGTATTAATCTCTTGCCGCATAGCAAGCGACCTGGTTATTTGATAAACTAGTTATATACACATATATATTTAACAATAGGCTGCGCACATCGCCTATCTTAATCTTCGCTTTACAAACTAAGTTGACAGGATATACATTTCATCTAGAAATAGTATGTATGATTGAGTGTTTTTCGTTAGTTTATCCTTGCAAGCCTAGATTTTGTACATTTCAGTTAGTAGTTACTGGTAGGCTAAAGACATTAGAGTATTAACAAAAACAAATAGAATGTCAGTAGAAAACAGATGTTATTACTTTGTTGTTTAGTTTTGTTTTTTTTTTCATCAGGCGTGAGATGGGGATTGTGTTTGCGTATTTGAGCAGTAAATATCAATTTAACTAATGCCTTGATCTTCTTCGGTTTGAATTTGATGCGGATATTAATAGAGCCATTGATAAGCTAACAGGCTTCAAAATAGCTAAGTGTGTTTGATGGGAACTCATATCTTCTGTAAGGCGGTATAAAACTTCAGGAAGTTATCAGTGTAACAAGCAACTCTTTACATCTCTTATATAGCTCTGGTAAAAATGCTAAGTTTAGACCTATCGCTATTACCTCTCGTTTTTTGAAACTAATGGAGAAATTATTGTTACTAAAACTTGTTCCCTCCCTAAGTTTCTCAAACGATCCAAAGCAGTTTGCTTACAAACAGGGTAGAAGTACTTTAGACGCTGCTGCTGTGTTTCATCACAACATTGTTTCCTCCTTAGACAAAGGGACCAAGTACATCCATTGCACGTTCCTTGATTATAAATCTGCTTTCGACTCTGTACCTAGAGGCCTTTTGTTAAACAAGCTTAGCCTTACACAAACTAAGTCCTAGGCTATCAAATGGCTGCATTCTTACTTCTCCAACAGGATGCAGTAGACGGTATATAATGGTGTATCTTCCTCTTCTTTGCCTACTGAAGCTGGAGTTCCTCAGTGTGCTGTTCTCTCTTCGTTTCTCTTTTCCTTCTTCTTACATGACTTACCTGTTTCAGACGAAATCAAACTTCGTCAAATATGCAGATGACCTGACTGTTTCGCTTCCCATTAAATCTCAGTCAGACTGTTTCAAATTAAATAGCTTCCTGTCGGAAATCAGTCAGTGGTCCAAACTAAATGGCCTCATGCTGAATCCCTCAAAATGCCAGACTATTCACTTCTCCCTTAGGCATAAACGAGATCTACAAACACTAGTAAGTTCTCATGAAGACTGTTGCATTGAGGGGACTAAAATTGAAACTAAGTCTGATGCAAAATACCTCGGTCTAGTTCTATCTTCCGACCTTATTTGGACATCTCATATCCTAACGACTTCTAAGAAAGTGTTCTGTCTTACCTACTACATTAAGAAACTTAGACTATCTGGAATCATCCAACCTCTACTTTCACAATTTGTCAACTCTTGTATCTTACCTATTCTACTTTACTGCTCCCCGTTAGTCTTTCCTGGTCTACTGAAAAAGGACTATACCATCCTGAGAAGGATGTCGAAGGTAGTCAGTAGGACTAGTGGTGTAAAACTCAGTCAGCTCGTCACTACATTAGTTGATAGGCATCTGAATACATGCGAAAAATGGTCAAAAACCATACTCTCCGACCCCCAACACTCCCTCTATTGCCAACTCTCGCCTTGTATCTCATCAGGTAGAACCAGAAATCAGCACAAAATAATCTATGCTCGTACAACCAAGTACAGGA